CTTACTGAATTTCTTACTGCTAAGCAAATCAATTTAGCTCCATGCATGATGTGCATACATACATGCCATGATTAACAAAGATACCTTCAAAGTTCACACTGCTGCTTGTAACATACTGCAAGCAAAAGCAACAATCAGAGCTACCCAGACCAAAATGAGACTCTACCAATCATGAGCCTCTCATTCTGGCCAATGCTTTTTTATGACCTATAAATCCTATCCAGCAGAGATTTATAGAATAGGTTATTTTGACTCTAGCCACCGTTCTACTCATCAAATAAAAAGAGTGGAGTAGATAAATGTAAATTCAAACTGTGCATGCTTCACTTGATTGAATCCACAAGTTGGATGGATCTTCAGCAGCAAAGGAGGAAGTAAAGTATATTCTTTGGCATCACTTATCCAATGTGCAGGCATAATTGGTGCAGTTATAAGACACTATGGGCCATTAGACAAGGACCAGCATACTCTAAATGTTGCAAATGTGTTATGTTGGTTGCAATGACCCTTTAACTTATATGCCTATATGAATAGATCCAATAATATTGAGTGTAAGTGTATGCTTAATTAAATGAGTATACCTTCTTGTACTAAGAAATATGTATAATCATACCTGTATATACTCCTAAAATTGTGTAAATCAAGAAACTGGGTAAATTCATAGATGCTGTTTCAGTGCCATTCATATTCCTAGTTGCTGATACAATGGAAAGTGAATCATTTGCTCCACAAGTTGTATTGTACAGATGTTTTATGATTTCTGGGGGAAAATAAGCTTATTTACTTCATGCCAGGCATTATACATCTATCACTTTATCAGAGTTTTACCAGAGCTTTTTAACAGTAATTAAAAATCTGTCCACCATAAAGAAAATGACCAAACATTACATTAATGAGAGCATTTGCAGGACTGCCTTTGCACATGGGCACACTGAGCAGTTGTCGGGGGACCCCACGAGCATAGGGCCCCACCGCGATGCCACTGGGCCAAGGCCAACAGAGGAGATCCTTTCACCTTCTCTGCCAGACCAAGCAGAGTCAGCCTTGCTATCTGCCCAGGGGGAGATCAAAGATCTCCCTCACTTGTCTCCTAGCATTTCAATAGGGGAGATGGAGAGAAGAAGGACACGAGCAGGCAGGTGGAAGCGTTGTTGCACATTACAAAGGCAACACTCTGACATAGCGCTCAGCTTGCGAGAGGAGTAGAGTCGTCCTGCAGCCAGAGGAGCTGCAAGCTTAAGTTTCCTTGTCACCACCAGACCACCATGGCTTTCAAAAGTAAGAAGAAGGGAGTGGGCACATAAATATTTTTTTTTTTTTTTAAACATATTGTGACAAACTCCCCTTCCCACGTGAGTTTGCCACAAGCTCCTGGAGGAGCTTGCTTGCCAACCTCCTGCCCACAGACTATGGGCCCTGCAGGGAAACCTGTAAAAGACTACCAAAGTTGACCGACCATTAGCACTGATTTCATGAAAATGTTTTGGGCATGGGCCTATGCGTGCGGTCGGTCAAAACTATGACTAACAGGAAATTCCTGAACCCCAGAACTGATCTGGGTGATTTTTGGAAATGTTGGTCACCCAGAGCGGGGCTATCAGGGGATGTAACTTTTATGGCATTTCCATGGGTTTTGGGGGTACTTTCAGGGTACTGTTAAAAATAATGTTTTTCTATGCGTGGAGATAATTGGATTAGATTAGTACAGTTCCTGATTCAATTATCTCCCAGGCACAGAGGAGGGTTTATCTTATTTGTGTATGGGAGTGTCCTGGACCTGAAAGCCAATGTCATTGTGTGGTTGTTTTTACTGTAGTCTACTCTCTGGTCCAGGGGGAGTGCCCCTTGCATGGTGACCTGCATATAAGGCCAGTTGGCTGTCAATAAATGAGTTCCTGCCTACCCTCAACATAGAGTCTCATCTCATGTGTGGGGGGAACAGCTATATCACTATGGGGATTGCTATATCACTATACTCCTCTCGGTTATAATCACTTGCTCTTGTAAGAGCAGCCTGCTACAATCTCTGGAGTAGGAGACATCTGCCCGCTGGATCCTGGCCTTGGGTACAGGGGGGGTGGAGGACGGCAAGACCCCAGGCAAGCAGTACCACTGGAAGTGGGGACTACGGTGCTGATGGTGTCTGGTGGAGTGCTCGGAAGTACTCTGAAGTTCTAGGAAGCAGTGAATGGTGGAGGCACCCCGTCTACTTCCGGGTTTCGTCAGAATGGAACGCACGTGCGTTCCAACTATATTCTGACGCCGACGTCTACTTCCGGATTTCGTCAAAATGGAACGCACCTGCGTTCCAACTGTATTCTGTACTGGTGGCTCTACTTTCTACTTCCTAGTTTTGTCTAAATGGAACGTGTTCCATTTTGACGAAATCCGGAAGTAGACATCGGCGTCAGAATATAGTTGGAACGCACGTGCGTTCCATTCTGACGAAACGCGGAAGTAGACGTCGGCGTTGGAACGCACATTGTGTTCCAACACATGAGAACCCGGAAGTGACCTCCAAAAAAAACAGCGGCACATTTAAAAGGAAGCAACGAAGATTCAACTCCTATAACGAACTGAGGAAGCCTAATTTACAGGAGAAACGCATTTTGGACTTATATATTAATTGGACATTTTATTGGACATTGATTTACATATATTTTTTAATGTCATTCATACCAGCTGTGTTTGGTATATGATACATATATTTTTATTGGAATAAAAACCACTTTTTGGAAAAAGGACAAGTGGTGAATCCGATACTTTATTTAGGAAGACCTACAAAGGAATCACAAGGGGGAATACTGAGGATCCGGGAACGAAAGGGTCTGGACAACCCCCAAATGGTCCACAGGAGGATACATTTTGAGTCATATGACGGTATGACTCTGATTTTGTGAGTGAGATTTTATTTCTTCTTACCAAACAGATTGAATAGACATACTACGCTATTTTGTGTATATTCAATTTTGTTTTACAGATCACCCAAGATTTTATGCGGCTCCGCCTATTTGTTTTGTATGAATTAAAAATAGATATCTAAAATAGTGTCACTTACCGTTTTCACTTGATAAATGTAATATTAAAGAAGAAAGAAGATTTCCCCAAATTCTTGCTGACTGAAATATTAAGAAAAATATTCCAAAATATTGATTAATTATATGCATTGTGACCTTGTTTTCTTTCTGTGCCTGTTGCTGTGCACTAAGAGTGAGATAGGTACATTTTGCTGTCCAGAAAGGACCCCCAGCTAAGCCTACCAGCACAGATGTTGGAATAAGGGTGTACCTGTAAAATGAATATGAATATTAATGTTGTAGAATTTTGTATCTAGATTTCTCTAACATAAAGGTTTACTCACTCCGCAATGGTTGAAAACCAAATTGCAAAATGTAACCTTGCAAAATATAGTTGTGACTATAGTTCTGTTGGAGATTATTTCCAAATCTATTATTTTATTATTTTGTCTTTTTTTAATTGATTACAATTTAGTGAGCAAATTTCACAAAACATACTGATATAAATGTATATAGATACATAATTTTTCATTAAACACACTTCTGAGTATTTATAGAATATGCCATGTATGAGCCATTGTAAAGATTTATCACTTAACACATCTAAAAGCCATACCTAATGAGGGGCATTAGCTACACCTCACCGACAAGGCCAATGAAAGCCAAAAACAAATGTTTTGAGTTGCTGTAGCTGGCAGCATTTTGGAGTTAGACTGTCTTTATGGGTGGAATGAGTGAGACAAATGGCCCAGATTCTCTCTACAACAAATGTGCAAAATCTTGCTTGAGACCTGGGTAAGTACTAACCAAAGGGAAAGCTTTCAGTAGATTGTTAATAGTAATAATAGAATTTCCAATACTAGACCCTAGTTCCCAAACTTCTCTCAATAGTTTTTCCAATATGACTTTTTAGGATTATGATTTGCAATACCTTAAATTATTACAATTTATCAATTATTCTGTTTTTTTTTTTTTTATTTATACTGATATTTTTCCCATTAACATGTATAAATATCCACTTATATTTCCAATAATAAATACATTTCCACTTTTTCTATTTTTGTATTTTACCATTCTTACCCTATTCTTTGTGAGATTTCATAAATTATTTGAATTTTCTTTGATATACTTTTATACTTTTGTTTATATGTGATATCATTTCAAGTATATGCAGAAACACTTATTTCTCATACATGCCAATTGATTTCTTTAGGGATAACTGTAACCTTTAAATTTTTCCACCTCCAGTTTCAAACACATTTTTCTTGCATGTGCCATTGCAAAGAGACGTTTATCATGTCACATTTCAGACTAAAACCACCCATAAGGGCAGTCCAGATAAAAAGTGCCCAAAGGCTTCACCTGTACAAGAGATGCAGCAACCCCAGACCTGACCATAGGATCAGAATCAGGTGAGTTTATTATTTAGTATGTTGAATTATTCTAAACTTTTTTGGATAGATAACTTTCACACAAGTTGAATAGAGATTTATCTAGTAAGTTAACCTAATGAATAAACATCTGTATGATTTTTTTCATAGACCTATATTATGAAGCAACATCACATTTTGTTTTCAGACTCTAATGCACTAACAATAGTGAAGATTATTGTAATATTTCTGTTACCATTTTGGATAGAAGTTTGCCAAGGTATAGGTGATGTAAAAACACATAGAAAATGTAACGGTCCATTTACAGCCAAGCTTCCTTATTACATATGGAGTAAAAACAACTGAAGATAAGATCTGGCTTCCATATATAACACTTAGAGATACAACACCAAGACCTCCGTGAGAATTTAGACTACTCTGTGGAGAAAAATAAAGTCACAATACTACAAAAATCAGAATCATACGTGGTTATGGTAAAGCACATAACTTGCAATGTAGATATCTGGTACAAATGTATTTCACCCACTTGTGTCATAGTAGTATTAAGGTGTTTCATTGAGAATAACAATTTTGCTTCAGATTGATTAAGCACTGTGACAAGAGCAATCTCGCCACATTGCATTGGAGAAGCCTGGCTGCCCGCCTGCTGCCTTTGGACTATGGACCAGACTTTATGTAAATGTGTTAACCCAGATAGCTATGCCATGGAGCCCATTTGTGTAGTTAAAGACTTCAGCTCCATGGCAATTGAACTGTGTGAATAGGATCTGAGCGCTATTCGGTAGTTTTGTGCGCTCAGATCCCAGCTATCTGGGGATATGTGAAATGTCTGTGTGTTATGTGTAAAAGGTGACTTTATGTATTTTAAAGTGTTTTATGTCTTTTTGCAACCATGTGCTCAATGGAGTCTGCCTCTATCCCTGGATAATTGGATTACTTTCCCCATTGTCTCCAGAATAGAGGGCTCTGTAAAACCTGTTTGAGCCAGATAACCATGTGCCAGCCAGGGCCCAAAAGATACTTTTACTAACTTTTGAACCCCTGGTCGGATTCATGCCATTTTTTAATATGTTGTTCCCCTGAATGGATTGATTGTGAATATGTAATTTTATGTGAATGTGATGTATGGTTTTAAAGTTATGAAAGTTGGGTAGAAAGTATGTTTTAACTGTATGTGTAATTGAGTTTCCTCTCAGGATAAGGGGAGGGAATATGTGGGATGTAACTGTGATGTGATTGGTTGTTTTATACCTCCCTGTGGGCGGTCCTGTATTTGAAAGACTGTAATAAAAACCAGGCTGGGTGTGCCAGCACCTCAGACCACTGCTTGACCCTCAACACAGAGCCTTGTCTCGTTCTTGGGGGGATTCACTGTATGCTGTTAGAGACTGATTGCCAGGAGTGTAAGCTGATTGTCTGCTTTTCCTGTTCGTCTGCTAGCAGCTACTTGGGAGGTTCCAGTTCGGGAGTTGGAGTGCTATTTTGTATCCAGTTCGGGAGTTTGGTGTTCTGCAGTAGCTGTGCCTGTATCTCTGGAAAGGGGGCCGATCGCCTAAACGTTTTTTACCCCTTGTGTGCAAAACGGTCCGTTACAAGCACTTCACCATATAAACATATGGACAAACAAAGTATCCTGCAGGATTATTGCCTAAATTGTGTATTATCAAGGAATCAAAGTGAACTTTAGGCCTTTATAGCCAATCTGAAAATATAGCACTTTTTTTTTTTAAAACAATTTTGATGGAAAATTATAATGTATTCACTTTAAATTCCCAGCAGTTCATATTTTAAAGGGATACTATAAGCACCAAAACCCCTCCATCTAGATGTAGTGGTCTTGGTCTCTAAATGTTTCTGAGAAACAACAATGTGTGTATGTGTGTCTGTATGCAAGTGTGTGTATGTATGTGTCTCTGTATGTGTTTGTCAGTATGTATCTGTGTCTTTGTATGTGTGTGTGTGTGTATGTATGTCAGTATGTGTATATGTTTGTCTGCATGTGTGTCTGTATGTCTGCGTACCTGTATGTCACTGTGTGCCCTATGTATCTGTATGTGTGTCATTCCATGTATCTGAATGTTTGTCATTAAGTATCTGTGTATTTGCATGTGTGTGTGTATCTACATGTGTGTCAGTGTGTCTGTGTATCTTTATGTTTTTCATTGTTTGTATCTGTAGGAGTGTCATTCTATATATCTGAATGTGTGTCATGCTGTGTGTCTGTGTATCTATATGTATCTGTGTGTATGTGTATCAGTATGTAAATCTGTGCGTCTGTATGTGTGTCTGTGTATCAGCATATGTGTCTGTGTATGTATTTGTATGTGTGATAAGATGTGTGTTTGCATGTATGTCAGTGTGTGTTTGTCTGTTTATCTGCATGTGTGCCTGTGTAACTGTCACCTCACAATGCACTGTCACCTCCCTTCACCCTGCCACACTCACAATAACGCCCCAAAATCCTGTCACTCACCCATTCCATACTCACCTCCCATCGCTCTGCCATATTTACCTTATCACACTCACCTTCTTTAGCACTGTCACACTCGCCCCTCCCCCCAATCTTGTCTCACTCATTCTCCATCACTCACCCTATCACACGAACCCCTCTAATTATGTCATACTTTTCCCCCTCAACCATGCCACACTCACTCTGTGGGGCGTGAATTGAGCACAAGGAGGAGCTAGGGGGCATGAACGTGACACCTGGAGGGGCTGTATGGGGCAGGCCCAGAGCAATGTTTGCATCGGGGCCCTGTAGTTTTAGTTACGCCTCTGCTCCTCTACATACTCTTATGAAGGTGCAATAATAACCTTTGCATTGGCATTGCAAAGTGTTTTATTGGCTTGTACTGCATTGCAAATTGTTGCTTAATCTGTTTACAATACTTTTTCCCAAATGCTTCACATTTACTGTTATCTATAACTGAATCTCCCTGGAGGTTTATTTTCTTTGTGTGTGTTCCTCATTTCAAAATGCCTAACTTTGCATTATCTACATTAAATATCTTCTGCCACCTGGCTGCCCAGTCCCCTACAAAGGTCATTTAAAGAAAACAATGGTAATTGAAAGAAAAATATATTTTCTTCTGAACCACTTGTATTAAATTTGTACTGTAACTTTGAACCATATCAATTATGTTTCCAAATTTGAATAGGCCACATACAGTTATATTTCTTGTTCAATACTACTATTGACTTTTCAAGTAATATTTTTAATTGACTTGATCTGTTCTTTTTTTAAACTATGGAAATCTAATAGTTTGCCATTGATGGTGTCAGAATAAAGTCCCCACTTAATGTATGAGTGTTACCTGGTGTTGCTGCTTATAGTACTGTTAAAGTTAATAATTTAGGACTTGAATGCAATACATTGAAAATATAGCAGGCCTATGTGGTGTAAAAGAAGGGACAGATTACCTGCAATGTTTGAAGTCCACCAAAAGAAACGTATATTAGTAAATATCCAAAGGCGATTACTAAGATATTCTTCAGGTGATATATTTCCATTTTAATGTAAAAATAAAGAATTGTAGCTCCACACTTCAGAAATCCTTTCATCCGATGCTCCAAATCCCTTTAATACAAGAATGATGCTATATTAACAAATGATGTGCAATGATATTATATAATTATAATATAAAAGGCAGGCTGCCTAACATAAAAAAACAAAACAATTTTTTTTCCATGCCATTGTCAAATGCCAATATTTTGATCTACATCAAGCATGTCAAACTCAAAGTCTAGCACGGGCAAAATAAACAAGGTTTAAGTTTATGTGGGTCGCAAAATAAAAAACACTTATGTTTTCATAGAAACGTAGGTTTATTTTGAAAAGTACAGTATAAACAAAAAAACATCATCCCCCTCTACTAAACTACAGCACCCCCCTCTTAATAAATCCCAGTCACCCCTCTACTAAATCCAATATACTAAATCCCAGCCCTCCCCCTATACTAAATCCCAGTCCCCATCTACTAAATCCCAGTCCTCCCCCTATACCAAACTCCAGCCCCTCCTTATACTAAATCCCAGCACCCCCTCTAGCCAACAAGAAGATTCCATTCACATTGCCGCTGCCAGTATGCGACTCCAGAGTCCGACCTCTGGTATACCCCAAATGGCGCCAATTGCACCCTGTGCCAAAGCGGATCCTCCTGCCACTTCATGAAACGCTGTGAAGGTGGAGCACATCAATGTCACATCGGAATGTGTTGTGGCGTTGTGTGCCTCCTTGCACCTCCAGGTACTCCACGTCCAGCCGCAGCCATCGCAACACTGACCGACACACATACACTCACTGACAGATACACTGACAGACACACACTCACTGACACACACACACACAGACACACTCACTGACATACACACACTCACTGACATACACACACTCACTGACATACACACACACTGACAGACACACACACACTGACACTCACTGACAGACAGACAGATACACTCACTGCCAAACACACAGACAGACACACTCACTGACAGACACACAGACACGCACACACACACACTCACTGACACACACACATACTCACTCACTGACAGACACACACACACACACACACTGACGGACACACACATTTACACATTCTTGCACACACTCACAACATCCCCTATGGGCCAATGGGGATCGTCTATCTTGTGTGCAGTTTAGTGATGCCGGGTACTGGAATATGACATCGTATTCCTGAACCCGGCATCACTACAGACGGCACGCGCGAGCAGTGAGGAGAAGGAAGACTGAGCTCCCTCGCTGCCGCCAACGTCCTGCTTCCTCTCCGGGTAAGTACATTTTTTCAGAGTAGGCACCTGAAATGTGGAAAATGCAGGTGCCTAGTCTGCTTTAACACCACGTATGTACTTGCGACTCGCTGGGCTGCAAAGATATTCATTGTGGACCGCATACAAGTGTGACATGCTTGATCTGCATGATTAAGTATTAGGATTCCTGAAGTGGTGAAAAAGACTCCTTTTATCCTCTTGTCTTTCCTTTCCTTCTAGCACTTTCCAGTTACCCTCCAAATTTTTCCATCCCTATTAGATATCTTAAATCTCTTTCCCTCTCTTCTGGTATCTTCCCACTTTCCTCAAACATGCAATGGCAAATCAAATCCTAGAAACATAAAACTGTCAATCATACCATAAAAAAAAACCTGTCTCTTTGAAACTACTTCTGCTTAAACTACATCCCATGTCAATACTCTCCTTACTTCAAGCTTGTATACATCCATCTACCATTTAGATTGAGACTTGTTTACCAAAGTGAGAATTCAAAGTGGAAACAAAGTGAATTTTTACACTTTTCTACATTCACATTGTCATTTGACACAAATTCACTTTGAATTTGCCTTTAATTCTCATTTTAATAATTAGACCTGAAAGTCTCTCACTGATCTTCTACAACCTGGTCTACACTTTCTCTTCACTCTAATGAAATGGACATTACTAAAATGACTGATTTACTCCCCACTACATTTAAACAGGGCCGCCATCAGGGAGTAACAACCATGACGGTTGTCAAGGGCCCAGCGGTCCTGGGGGGCCCGGACTGCACTGATAATCCTCTATGTGTCTGCCCTCCTATGTGCATCTATACATAGCTAGTACCACTATACATATATGCCCCTGTGGGCCCTGCTGACTTCCAAGCGGGGGCCCAAGATATACTGACCTCCCTCTCCGGCACTCTCGCGAGGTGCTGTAATGCGTTGCCGTGGGTTGCGTGACAATACTCACGGCACGCAATACATGCCGGGCTCACTACAGAAGTACAGACTGCTAAGCCCCTCTTTTCTGGCCTAACCAGCCCAGCTGAGCCACCCGACCAGCAGGGAAAACAGTGCCCCCCCTCCCTGACTACAGGTAAGAGGCAGGGAGGGGGGAAAACATTTTTTTAAAAATGTAATAAAAATACCCCCCAACACACACACACACACCATCAAACAGACAAAATGCACCCACTACACACACAAACTGCATCCACCACACACACACAAATCAACAAACAGACAAAATGCATCCAATACACAAACACACACACTGCA